CCATTGTTTGGGGCGCGCCAATAGAATTATGGATTTCAGAGAAGGGCCTTCATGTTTCAGCTGGCGTATCCCTCCGCCGAAGCAAAATGACGAGTGGTCAAATAGCCATCTTGGTGGATCACCCGATATATCACCCGATATTTATTGATGCTTATCGTGGGAATTTTTCTGCAGATCAATTGCGTGAGTCGTTTTTTCACCATCTGTGTTAGATTCGTATAAATTCTTGCCTTCCCTTACCACCTCAAAAAAGATCATATCTCCATGGTTGGTTCACGTGTGGCTATAATAGGGGCAGGCTCTGTTGGAGCTACTATTGCATACGCTCTATTGTTGCAAAAGATATCATCAGAAATTGTCCTCGTTGATATTGTCGAGGAAACTGCTCGAGGACAAGTTCTCGACTTATCGGATGCCGGATTTGTTACTTCTGCTCGGATACGTCAAGGCAATTTCCAGGAGGCTGGCCAGTGTGACATCGTAATTGTTACTGCTGGCGCTAAGCAGAAACGAAATGAGACTAGAGTCGAGGTACATGTATATAAAGTTTCTTTTTGGATCGATGTGCGCATAGGAATGCGGGTTGAATTAACCACGTGATCTTTTATTTATTTTATGTTTCGTCTAGTTAATAGAAAGAAATTACAATATTTTGTCAAGCGTGATCTCTAAGATGAAGCCGTTAAATCCCAATATCATTTTATTAATAGTTGCCAATCCGGTATGTTACGCCCTTCTAACTAGTGATTACTGTCTATCGAGTATTTTCTAATCTCTATTGCTATAGGTTGATGTTCTCACATATATTGCTCAGAAATTATCTGGGCTACCTAAGAACCAAGTATTCGGATCAGGTACGTTTCTAGATTCGGCTCGATTGAGATTGGAGTTGGCAAACATACTAAAGGTTTGTAATTTCACGTAATAATAACTATAATGAGACATTATATGTGCTGATTATGAATTTTACATGCATTTAGGTGGCCGAGAATGCAATTCATGCTTATGTATTGGGAGAGCATGGTGACTCTCAATTTGTCGCGTGGTCAGCTGCACATGTAGGCGGTAAATCATTGCTCGACTTTCCTGAGATGAAAGCGGTTGATAAAGAAAATTTGGCCAAAGAGATTGCCAGAAAGGCGTATGAAATCATTAATCTCAAGGGTTCCACTTACTATGGTATTGCAGGGTGTGTATCGTCGTTGGTTCAGACTATTGCATTCGATCAGCGACATATCAGGCCATTGAGTGTTTATGTTGAAGAGTTTCAATGTGTGCTTAGTATGCCGGTAGTGTTGGGCAGTTCTGGCGTCGAGAGAATAATCGATATATACTTGAGCGCGGATGAGAAAGCCAGACTACAAAAATCCGCTGCAGAGTTGAGTGCTATTTGCAAAAAGTATGCTTGAGGAACATGATGATGGCTATCGGATGAACATGTAGTAGTCTTTATTATGGAACCAATTGATATTAGCAATGTATGCTGTTTCATTCTAGCTATCTTGTGAAATCATGTAAAGATAAAAATCCAGAGATATGTTTAATTGGAACTTGAAAAGACTTTTAAATGATGAGACTTTCCGATCGTTCATAACAAATTGATAATGACGTTGGACAAACGTTCATTGACGCAGGAATGAATATAAGATAAAATTCTGCATTACTGTCAGAACGCGCGTTATTGTTAATGGTAGAATAAGCTTGCCGGGTTTCAATACTTGGAACTGATATTAGTTACCTAAGTGACGAAGCAGAAGAGTGTTTTATTGCGTTCACGAACTACTAATAGAAATTCTGTATGACGGTAGACCTAACTTACATATTATAGCGTTAATTGATCAAGTCTCCAAAGATTATGGCTTGTCGTAATTCAGTCGCGGGAAGTGCTTAGCAAGCGATTTTCATAAACTGACATGAAACGTTAATAACATATGAGGAAATAAGACTAATAACATGAAAAATTGGTCCAATAATATTAACCGAATGTACTCTACAGAAGTAGGAACCCTAATTGTAATGCCAGAGTACAACCAAGAAACACCCGCTGCATTATATATACGCATAAAGAAGTTTAACCAAAGATTAGAGGTAATTTAGTAATGGTCAATAGTCTCTGAATTGGAATTCTAATCGATCATATTATTGTTATGTTTGGTTTGTTAAATATATTGACGAGATTGCATGGAAGAGAATACACAAAGTTGGTATTACATTCTTATTCTCTTCGAATTCACTGTACAATATGATTACTTTTTTGTCTGATGGACGCGGATATGTTACAAGCTTATTCAATAAAGTCTCAAAACTTCACATCGAATTCATTGCTTTCCAAATATTCTACTATAACAGAGTAATTTGCTCCGCTGGTTGATTTATTAATACATGCCATTCCTTTTGTATAAAAGTTTGCATTCCAGGAAAAACATGTTTTATATCAAGTATCATTGTTAGAATCTGAATCTACCAACACATAGCTTACCGATAACATAATGCAAACGTCTGTTTGCTAGGCACGCGATTTTTAGTAGTAAAGAGATTTAAAGTACAGAAAAGTAATATTGGTAAACCATCTAATTTATTGCGCTCTGCGTCATCAGACTATGCGCCAATAAATTGGGGTAGGCATATTCTGTGTGAGTTGATTGTCTCAAGTATGGAATATTATTTGCGCTTTAAAAGATAATGATGTCAATATACATGTCTGGTTTGTTGTACCTCGATTGGGGACCTGTCTCAGTTCTGGACTGAGTGACTGGGTTCTGAACCGAGACAAGTCCCAAACTCAGACACAACTTATTGTTAGAGTAACGAATAACGGTTTAAGCCGCTTCTAGTGAATGGGTTTGTTCTAATAATTAAACAATAGATTTAATTGATTTTCTTACGGATTTTATTTTTTATTTACAGATAGGGATTTTATCGTGAATAATCATACCTAGTTAATATTGTTGATACCATACAGGACGATTGAAGATTAAATTAGCAGCATTTTATGTACCAAATAGGGCACAAATGTAAATATTACACCAACATTTCAATCGAGGATGTGGATTTTACTTTATCGTTATCGACACCCATATTAATATTAATATCTAACTATTATATCCGATTTAGTTGAAACCAAAAATTGGTTCCAATTCTATTAGATTATATGTAATATGGCATTGAAATTTGTTTTGACGTATATTTATTATACGTCAAAACAAATGCACATTCTAAATGAATGGTTAATTAAAATTAAAGAATTGGTGTGCATTGCGTGGTAATTAATTTCGCAAACTATAAAATTGGTTTTTGAATGATTGCAACAAAGTTGAGCGTATTCGATCAACAACTGTTCTATGCAATATTCAATTATTTACGTATTTGCTACACGGTTGTATTTCATACTAATACTACTGCATAAAATTTAATTAATCGACTTTTAATCATAATAATAATAGTAATTACACTACATCTAAAGTATAGCCGGGAAATTCAAAAGAGTTTATGCGGACAACCGTGAGCTTTTGTCAATGCGTTTATTGTAAGCTGCAAGTCAAATGATTTTAACAATTTTGTACAGCAGTTGTGTGTCAGGAGACTTATTATTTATTGAAACTTTACTTTAAATGGCTTAGATTTAAGCTGTTTAACGTCGGAAAGTGATAAACCCTTGTGTTAAAAATAGGCATTCAGTTGACCAGTGAATAACGATCGCTTGACCATCAACTGGAGCATTCCGTTATTGCATAATATTGACCAGTCATATGTGCCGATTATATTGTAAAAGTGTGAATAATATTTAACTAATTAATTACGGACGACCTCGATGATGCGATATGCGCTAATAATCGCACACAATTTCACAAAATACTTAATTGTTACATCAATTTGTAAATATGCCTATTTGGCTTTCTTTAAATCATATATTGCGGGAAGGTGACCCGAGTTGTTGCTCACTCACACAATCAGCAATGAGCATAATGCTACAGAGAATGTCTTCCTACTCCAATATAGTCGTACCAGTTGACCATGCTATGGCTTTGTTTACTTTTGAGAATTGTATTGTGTAAACGGAAAACTCCGGCGTGGATGTGTCAGCCAGTGGCCCCATTCTAGAAAAAACGTCAATACGTAATGGTTGCAGTCACGATAAACGTATAAGATTTTCCGTTTTTCGAAAAAATTGTAATGCGCGAAATGGATAATAACCAATATATTTTACGAGAGTTGAACAAATTGTTGTCGATGATGATGTTCTCAAGATTGCTTTCTACATGTTATCAACTTCCGTCCAAACTATTCTTTTCCCGATCATCTTAGAATATGAATTCTATGTTCCATTAATTAAACGTTGTGGTAATCATTCGACGAAACACAATATGTTAGAACTGTTATAGATCAAATGCTCCAGCTTACAAAATAATCCTGCTCTTGATTAAATAAAATTTATCTTTTCTCATTGCGATCGGCACGAATTAGCGCTATTGCTAGTTAAGTAAATATCGTCTCCATATCAGGAAGGTCAGACTCAAAGTGAGACACTGCCATGAAGGAAACAAACTCTAAAGACAGTTCAGAGATTGGTACAAGGGAGAGTTCGAAAGACTGAAATTCAAATTTACCGTTTGAAGTATCAAATGGAAGTTAATTCAATCAGCACGAACACGGAATAGCCGAACGTTGTGGTACACATGCAAACTCGACAAGTCGGTCATGCATGGTGGACCGACTTGTCGAGAGATTTTAAATATTAAAATTGAGAAAAGGCTTGGGAAGTTTTGGCCTTCTTAGGCCAAAATTGAATCATCGAGAGATCGACTTATCAAGTTGCATGTGTAGTAGAGAAACCCGATGAATTCTGAATGCTGCCCGGTCTGTCGGTTATAAATCTGCTTCATCCTCTCAAACATTCATCAGACAAGCTGGATAACTTGAATAGGAAGCAGCTCTCGTCGTGAGGATTCCAAAGGCCTGGGAAGATATATCTCTGTACTATATTTACATAAAAACGGGCACTACCCATATGGATCTGGGAATGGATACTCTCTCTTCACCTCTGGATCAACTCTCCCGCGAGCATACATTCCAAAGTACGATGCCACGGAATATGTCAATGCGACTGACATATTCATCCCTCTAATTATATCACAGCAGCATTAATAATAGTCCCAGAAAGCATAAAGAACGTTAAGAAATGACGATTACCTAAAACTAGGCCAAATATGATTGAATCCCGATCTCTTTATTGATTTTCTGACGTAGGCATCATGTCGTGATTCCATTGTCGTTGACCACAACATGACTTGGTGCATATTCTATACGTATATAAATTAGAAAGACATATAGTAAAAAGAATTGAATACTGACCTAACTCAAACTACCTTATCATGTGACTTGTACTCGGCCAGAAGGCCAACCCACACGGCTCTTGTAAACATAGTAAACAGTGGACTCGCATCTGCCAACGGTCAACAAATCATTAGTTACTGCTCTTAATAATACTCTCAATTCCTTGCTGTTACCTTGTTTACTCACCAATCTCAAGCTCAACGGATATAATTACTCTCTCCTCCACCTCATTTCTCTTGTCTTCAGTGACATCTGTATTGAATGTTTTCAATGCTTTCACTTCGATTGAAGGTGAGAGGGGCCGCACGGATGGAGTGAAGTGGAGGGGTATGAACACAAGGACAAAATAGAAAGTAACAGCGAACAGGAGAGAATATTTAGGGTTGTGAAGAAGTGTGATTACCGGATGAGACATGTTAGATCGTAAAAAAGAGAAGTGAGCACATTGCCCATTGTTGTCACACGCGACGTGTTATATACGGAGGCTTCCACAAATGTGTACCACATACATATCAACATCCATCGATCAAAATTATCAAACTACGTCTTAAAATTGCTATTCTCACAAGAATTACACACTTCCAATACCACAATGTCAGACACTCAATTCCGTGATATTTTCTCTCACTTTCTGTATCCAATCCCTACTCAAAATTCAATGGTTCAAACACCTACTACATCCATGCCGTCACCATACCCACATTCATACACAAAGCTCTTCTTGGGTGCAAGCAAGAAGCTACTTGAGCCGAGAGTGTTTGCGTTCGTGGTTCTTACGTCTGTCTCATTGTTTGTTGGTGCAATGATATTGATTGATTTTCAAGATGAAGGAGAAGAAATCGGAGAAGAAGAAGAGGAAGAGGAAGAAGAAGAAGAGCAAGAAGGTGAAATCAGGGATGAGGAATGATGAGGAAACAAGCATGCGTGCAACTGTCGGATACTGTTTTCGGTATATGTAAAATACGAATTTGGACTATAAGATTAAGAGAATGGGTATTACAATTTGATCTTGGAAATTCCACTATGATGACCGCTTTCTTTAAATCTGTTATTGTAACGGTCACACTGTTTGACTTTTTTATTCCCAACGCTTGTAAATTTTATCACGTGATCCATCCGACCTTTTGTGTTACACGTGATAAACGTGTTTCTTACTATTACGCATTTTTGAAGGAATTATATCTACACATTTACGTAAATCATAAAAATCAGAGAGTGATGAACAAAAAAGAAAAGTTGCCGAATGTTTATCATAGGAAGACTAGCGCGCGGGATGTATAAGAAAGGGGCTGCCGTGGGACAAAGAACATAGAGTTTCAAATGAAGAAGCTTATTTCATAATGTGAATCCTTATAAAACTCTCTAGCAGATTCGTAATGTCCTTATCATTCAATCTGCCTTGACGTCAAAGAACTCTTTTTCCAACAACTCGAAACCATGTCGTAATTTAGAATTAACAACGACCAACATGTTGTTCAGGTTGCTTTCTCAATGCAAATTATATCATAATATATGGACCACTTATTTGGTTTATCTTTAATACAGCCGTATATATGGATTGTTCCGCAGAAATGGAGCGTTTTAGTTTCTCTGCATTCCCCCAAATGATTGTTCATAGGCATTGTTGTTATCTCCATCAAACGCATGCTGTGTACTTTGTCCATGTGTGTACCACTCACTTCCTCTTGTTGTTTCATACTTCACCTGATTCTCGGGTATAAATCCGCTGTCTCCTGCATTTTGAGCGTAATACCCTTGCATATATCCGGGGGAAGAAGATGACTGTTCAGGTGCAACTTGTTGTGATTGTTGTTGTTGTTGTTGCTGTTGCTGCTGCTGTTGCTGCTGCTGCTGTTGCTGTTGTTCCCGAATATGTATAGGATGATGACCATGAGGTAATATATTAGGCATTGGAAGAGAAGGATGTCCGGATGGTTCGGCGTAGCGAATAGATGGGGATATCGATGGATGCTGTTGATATGGAATTACTTGAGAATCTACAGCCAACTTCTGATCTTCACTCATTGGCTATTATTAATAGTTTGGAGTATATTGTTAATAGATTTAATGTAAATTCGGCTTTAATTCCCCAAAACATCTTGAACGCGATTGATGTGATAATATAATAGAATACGTACACCACTGAATTGATGATGGGGTACTCCATATCCGTAAGGATAATGAGATGGGTGATCAGACTGTTGAATAAAATAGATAGCGAGTGAGCTGTGTTTATGCAACAATGATGATAAACGTGTGATTTCCAACCTTTTCATTCTTGATGGGTTTGTCATCTCGTGGTATAATGTCTACTAAAAAATCAAACATATCTACTTTCTTAATTCCATTTCCTATGTCTGATCTTTGCAATGTTCTCCTTTTAGATTCTTCAGCATTTAACCTGATAATATTAAATGGTAGTTTTGTTTTTTTAATCACAATTGTCGATCATTCACGTTTTTTCACTCAACTCAAACAGTTTATTACCACGCGCGTATGGTCAGTTCGATAATGAAAATATAGCATGCTTTAGCAAATATCACTGGTGCCTAAAGGAATAGATGCATATTAATTGATTGATATAATTGGTGTTTCATATTATGTAGAGGTGCACACTCACTTCGGAGCTGATCATCTGTAAGACAATGGGAAGAAGTAAAAAATGGATTTAAAATGTTGTTTGACCACACATTGTTACACAACTATATTTATTCAATGTGGGCGACCGCCGTCTTCCGCTCCGATCGCACAAAAGCACATTGTTGTATTGATATGGCATACTCTTATTCGATCACACTGGTCCAAGGACTCACTCACCTTCACATCCTCATCAACTTTCATTACTTTCTTAATCCTAGCCAAGGGTAACGGATGATTCTTGAAATCATGATCCAAGTTAGCGATATCCGTCAATTGTTTGTGCCAGAATTTGTCCAAAACGACATTATGGTTTTGATTGCTGCTCCCACCGTGAAATGAAAATGGAGGAATTGATGCAGATGGCGTTGGATTGAGAGCCAAATGAGGTGAATGATCTACCATCATAGGCTGTTGATGAATGTGCGGTTGCATTTGTTGTAATTGCATAGAATTTGCCGATTGTTGTGGTGGCTGTGGGGGAAGAAGCTGCTGACGGTGTTGAGGATGAATGTGAGGATGGTGAACATGGCGAGGCGGGTAGTCTTGTTGATAGTGCGGAAGATCGGATTGCTGGTCCATTTCTAATGAAGGAAAAACCAAACACTTAGACTACAAGGAAAGCAACAGAGAAGGTGAATATGATAGTGCGTATTACAATACCGATATACAGCTTATTTTTTTTAAAAAATTTTTTTTTGCACCTGCGAGGGTCTGTGGGTATGGGTATTTATATTTCTTTTGTGACAACCTATGAGAAAGTTATATCGCAGTCTTATATAAAGCTACTTGTTCGTCGAGAAAGTCGAGAATAAAAAGTTTTTGGTTGTCAAGCGTATATTTTGCATGTATTCAGCTGCGGTGAGTGGTACTATTTAGGAAAAAATATACACTCGATATGCATGGGGAAAGTTGGTCTGTCTGAAAGGTCGGGAAACAGAAAGAGAGTATCAAAATAAATAAATATTCCGCACTATCTATATTTCAGGCAAAAATATGTAGGCATTCTGATGATCACATTATTTAAACAACAGAAAGTTAGGAAATAAGAAAAAAAGTGGCTATACACAATTGGACCCCGGCGTTATAATGTATGCTGTTGCTGCTGTCTGATGTTTTATTAAATACATTTGAAATAACTAGAGTTGATTGGTATGTACTAGCATACATCCGGTTTGGTCGACACTAATTAAATTTAGCTTAAAGATACAATTATTAGTGCGTAACTAGTAATGTCGCTAGTAATATAGCTACCCCTGTTTATTTACAGTAACGCGTCGTCTGTCAACATAAAAAGCTGATATGTATATTAATGTGTTACCCGTACATGAAGAAATGGCGGTTTTGCACCAATAGGCTTTGGTCAGTGACAAGTATGAGAAAAGAAGAGAACGAAATCAAGATATCAATGCATTAATACGTAAATATGGTTGCACATCATCATGTGCTTCAGCAATTAGGAATTACACTACTGTAATAGTATGACCATTTTATTTGATAGCTGTGATGTAACATATATTATATAGTATGGTGATGTTAATAAATTGTTCGGAAATCGAATTCAGAAACATGGACTGTTGTATACTTGTTTATTTCAAATTTCCGGAAAGATTTTCATGTAACAATATCATCGTCATATAATCGGCGATCTCCATGCCATAATTAAATATTATATTGTTGATATATAACCGTTCACGTTGCAAAAATCACAGTCTGCACCGTGGTGATCTGGCGTTTCTTATTCGACATTGTCGTCCAATAGGAAAAAATTTCGACCGTTATATGCCAGACATAACCGTGGAGCCTTTTCTGTTTTCTCGTTCAATGGATGGGTAATATAAATAGCACAAAATCATTGTTCATGCTCGAACTGAGCGCTCACTGTGCAGTCGTTAATTTAGTCCGCATAAGTGGAATGGTAAATGGTATTACTGTCACCAATCACAGCCACAGCAAAAGGTTCCACCAGCAGTATGCTAGTGTTTTTTTTGGCTAACCTTGTATGTCATTGATTCAGCCACGAGTGAAATGTAGGTACAGATTAGTCTAAGATGTGTGATTCACTGAAATTGTCCAAAGACAATACAGATACTATATCATGCTATTAGTCATACCATTAGTCATCCTGTTGCTCTCTATTGATAGATGAGGTAATTGTCATGGATTTATGCATCGGCAAGCTGAGCAGCTAAATTGGTTAACGCCCACTTTCGCCACGCCACGATCTTGGCACCCCACAGGATGCCGCGCGAACTCAATAAGGACATGAATAAACAATGCAATAATATTATATTCATTAGTATAATGATCATATTTTATTTGGAATAATTCCAACATCGGCTTATTGTCAGCTACGATCTAATCAGGTAGATACTCGGATCATCCGACGTTCTTGTTGAGCGAGTAATATATCGCATGTGTGATTTATTTGTACATGAATGCAAATGCCATTACTGCATGATGATAAGCGGTTACATCAGCAATTAAATATCACGCAAGTAATCGTTCTTGCATACTCTTACGCTCAAAATATTACGCGTATTCGTATAATCGTATTAGATTACACTTTATTGCCCCTTGTACCAAGGTATTGGCATTAACACATAGACCATTTGTCAGTGGAATAATTGGATACATTACGAATTCATCATGATTGGGGCCCGATATGAGAAAGCAGAGTGGTTGTGGATCAACAGACCAACTGGGACAACAAGAAGAATATTTTCTGACATGTTATTACTATGTGGCTAACTATGTGGCTAACGCATATACGCTATATCTATTACGCAATTTCTATTTCTGTCACAATACTGCAATACCATTCCTTACCCATCAATCTGCAAACAATACTTACAAATCATATATATCCTGATATTCTTGCAAGCAATCGGCTGGATTTTTCCAAATAGTTATTTTTACCCACTTGTTTTGTAAACACATATGCTCATCGATGGGGAATATATTTATCGTATTGCGTCCAACATGGAACTACTCACAATGCATTACACATCCTGTATGTAATCGGGGGTTAGAACTCAGGAGATGGAATCTTATTGCATCGAACAGGAAGACAGGCATGAAAAAACAAACTTGGATTTGACCATTAAGTAGAATAGCATGCAGATGAAGTCTATTTTGCAGACACTGATCACCTATTGGAAGCAAACTCGAGCTTTTTTGGCAAAAACTGTTCTTGTAATCAAGCCGTTCATCGAACAACCCTGCAGAACATTCTGAAAACAAATAAAAAACGCCAATGGTTGAGAAGGACGGCGTCCGCAATTAACCGTAAACAAAAGCCATAAAGTACCAATCGATGATCTGCTTCAGCACTCCATTCACGTGTCGTAATAAACTTCCGCACAAATCATCAACGGATCGCTTCATCCGCGCTCAAGAAGATATTTAAATATCTATTGTTGTCATACACAGGGCGCAGAGACAAGCTTTTACCTGTGAGTCAAGAAAGAAAACAGGAAATATTTACAATTAATGGTCAAAAAGTAATTACAAATCAAAGGGGACTGACGCCTACGTGATATATCGATATTATAATGGATATTATTTACGTGAAGATGGATGGAAAGAATTTCCTTCCCATTTTTCCGTAGTCGAATTCCACAGAATATTATAGGAAAAATATAATCGGTCAGAGACTACAAATGCATGTATACCGAGTTTCACTGCGAGTAGCTCAGCAAATTCAAGCACCACACACACGCCCTTCCCAATTTTTGGATAGTGCAACTGCTGCATTAGCTATTCCCTGATGTGTTGCGATTGTAAGACAGCAAGAGAGACAGACGAGATGCTCGTTAACTTGCTCATCCCCAGTAGAGCGAGGAGAGAAAATTTACAGATGAGAGTAACAGACAGCATTGCGAGTGTTTTAGACTGTATGTAGAAAGACAGAATTCCCCGGTCGGTCAATAAGTGGTGCTCATTCAATACGTTATTCGTTTAACAGAGAAGGGATTTCACCAAGGTGAGCTTATTATGCTCATCGTATAAAAGGTACAAACTCTAGTTGGGCCATTCATGTCACGTGGACCAATCAACAACCAGTAACGGTTAATATTAATAACTACCTTTGGTTCTTTTCTCTGCTTGTATCAAAACTTCAATTTGCGAAAGCAAACTCTCTGGGCTTTAAACAGTTCGTTTTGTATTAATATATTTCTTCTACGTTATACATCTTTCGATTGTTTCTTTTCTAACGTCAAAGCAACCTGGTAAAGTCGGTTGCTCCGAATGAAGCTTATATAATCATACCACGTGATTAAGTACTTGGCGAATTTAAAAATCGTAAGACTCGTTGGCGGTCTTACATGAAATAGCCTGAGTAACAAATACAATAGAATTCGTTTCTCATTTAAAGCATCGACTATTGGTTCTGGCCGAAGATTATATCGACTCTCGACGTTACCACAATGTGCGGTGCGCCCATCGTGCTAATCATATGATTATGATTATGGTTTTCAAAGTATGATTTTCCCGGGATTCCCGCTATAATATTCGGTTGAAATATCAATTTAAGCGGGAAAACTTGCGTCGAAGGAATTTTATTAATTGTTTATTTCTTGTGTCATACATTATGTCACTGAAAATGAAGCGGTCTAGACAAATTTTAATAACAAAAAAAAAAATTAAATTACAAGTGCCCGGAAAAAAGATTTAAACGTCCGAGTCGACAATTATCTTTTTTAACAGAATTTAAAATTCCACAGAAAGCCATCGCGTAAATCAGCTATCTTGTAATTGACCCATCTACTGAATTATATGAATTAGCCCTTGATGGTTATTGTATTGACCCTTCCCCTAATAAAAATTTTTGCTTTTCACTTTGGTGATTTTTTTGCCATCAGCATCTCGGTATTTCATTAACCGTTTTATTATAACATTGGCACAGTCAATGCATATGTTCTTCAAACCTGTTATACTATATAGTAATAAGGCCTTCGTTTCATTTGAGCATTTTAATTTACAAACCGATTTCTTATAGGATTAGATTAAGTCGCCCACAACAAATTCAAAAAAAAAAAAAAAAAAGAGAAAACGGCTTTTGCAGATAATTAATAAGAATCCGTTATTTGACTGATGAGATATTTATATCAATATTCAAAGCATATGCAAAAGATCGAATTTTGTCAGGATCCGAGCTAAGCTCCTCTAATAATATCCTATCAATATCCGCGTGTTGGACATTGAAATTATAAAAGTTTGAACGAGCAGATAATTGATAGATCTAAGGGCCTTTGAACATCAATAATCAGTTGACGATGAGTTATTTATTTAATCGATCTTTTCTTGTCGTCTTTGATGCGGTAACATTAATCTATATTTGAAAGTTAGATATGTTGTGTCCGAGTTGGGACCTGTCTCGGTTCAGAACTCAGTCACTTAGTCCAGAGCTCAGTTGTCTCGCTCCAGAACTGAGACAGGTCCCCAACACCCAGTACCTGACTGGGGCGGAAATCGAAGCCGATACTCTCCTCTACATCGTGCTCTGACGAATGGCTGCATAATCTAAACATGTAGTAAAATCGTTTGCATCTGGATGGAACAGGCTACGAAATCAATAT